TAAATGAAATGAGGAAGAAATTTTTATTATCGTAAATTTTTGTAATATTTTTGTGTTTTTCTGTTTTCTGGATAGATGAGGAAGCCCTATCTTTTTAAAAGCTATTTATATCCCACAATAATTTAGTAAATGCTGCCTTTGGAAACTAAAATGAAAAATTTTAAGTAACGGCTGATTCTCACAGACTTCCTGGAATTCCAAAGCTCTTAGTCTTTACTTTTGATGTTAATATAATTATGTGTATAGGTGCAATAAAAATCTGTCTTCCATTTTCCACGATTATAATTGGACAAAACAATTATATAACCAATGCCTTGCTTGAAATGTCGCCTTTGAAAAAAAATACACTTTTAATCAAATATGACAAGTCACTTTTAAGGAACTGAAGTTGATCTTACATATGTAGCCAATGGCTTAAGCATCCTCAGGAATACTGAGTCTCAGGATTCCAGTCCTGCAGGTAGTAAGATGGTCACTTCCTTGAGGCATGGATCCTTAAAAATTTGGGGATCTCTAGAATAGAGGAATTCACTTAAATTTAAAGGGTACTGGAGATGAAATGGAGGAGATATTTTCTTGGGATTGGTTTTCTAGTCTTAAAACAAGTTAGATGTTCATAAAGGCCAAATCAGAGATTCCTTTCAGAATGAAGTTAAGTTTAAGGCCTCAGCGGTTGCTTGATATCGTGCAGTTCTAAGTTGGCAAAACAAGCTCAGAGAGGTTTATTTTCACTCTTGCTGAGCCTGTGTAAATAATCAGGCCAAACGTAAGGGGAGCACCATTTTTTGTTTCGATCAATGATAATCTTTCTTCGAGATAATTATGATCTTAAAGCGGAGGGTGACTCGAGACTGTACTAATGTCCTACTGTTGCTGTGAATAAAGAATCACAAATTTAGTAGCTTAAAGCAACACATTTAGCATCCTTTATATCTGAGGTCAGAAGTCAGAAATGAGTCCCAGTGGGCTAAGTTGAATATGTAGATATGTAGGCAGGCCTGCGTTTCCCCTGGAGGCCTTAGAGGATAATTTGTTTCCTTGTCTTTTTTTTTTGGAGGTTGCCTGTGTTCCTTGGCTCATGGCCTCCTTCCTGCATTTTCAAAGCCGGCAGTTCTATCAGCCCAACCTCTGCTTCTATCATCACCTCTTTTTCTATGATTCCAGTTCTCCTCTTTCTTTTATTGTAAAGATCCTTGTGGTTACATTGGGCCTGTCTGGATGATGCAGGATAATCTTCCAGCCTCAGGATCCTCAGGGTAAACACATCTTTATGGTCTCTTTGACCATGTACAGTAATATATTCAGTGGCTCTAGGGATTAGGACATGAACATTTAGGGGCCATCATTCTGTCTACCATAATGCGGCAAGTTTGAAATGGGCTGGAAAGATGACTGAGTAACTTCACTGAAAACTAAGTGTTGCCTGGTTATTTGATTCTATGGCATTTCTGCAGGATTCATTGCCTTTAAGCTTTGGAACAACTCTGTAAATTGCAGGTAACTGATGCAAAGCAGAGGATTCTTGAATATAGACATCTAAGTGCACTTTATCCCATGGAAATGCAATGAAGTTCCCAGCACTACCATGACAATCTTCATGGAATAAGCCAATTTTGCAAATTCATTTCACCATTACCACTTATAAAGGTTTAGTTCTTTAAAATCCCCTTTGAACTAATTGTAATATGTTTTTGGTTTCCTCATTAAATAACAAATTACAGCCTTTGACAGATGTTCATTTTATAGTCTCTCAAAGTTGTGATTATACCCTCTCTTAACATGTATGATTTAACATGGAGCTTCACAATCATATACAAAAATAAATAGAATGTAGAAAAAGTTTCATCACTCAACCCTAATAATATAAAGCTAAAGTCAGTCCTGCCTTTTCTAGAATTTCTTCCATTTTCCTTTGTCCTGCTATTCTGAGGTGAATTCCTGAGACCATCTTATCTTATGCATAAGTATTTATTATGTTCCTTTAATTATAAGGACTCATTTAACATAACCACAATATTAACATAACACATAAATTAACAATTGCTTAATATAATAAAGATGTCCAGTGTTCAAATTTCGAATGACATTTATTTCCAAATGACATTTATCTTCTTTTGTTGTTGTTGTTGTAGCTTTTGCTGTAATTTAAAAATCTAGGACAAAAATAAGATCCACACTTTGAGATGTTTTGATATGTATATGTTTAAGTCTCTCTCTTTTGAAACTATTTTATTGATGTATATTCTATGTGCAATAAATTGCTCCTACTTTAAATCTACAATTTGATGAGTTGTCTTGAGTATCTTTTAAATATATGATATCCCTCCATATCTTTTTGTTCTCATGGTTTATTTGTATTTAAACAAATTTGCCTCTAGAGTTTTCCAGAATATGTATTTGCCTGATTGTTACCCTGTGGCACAATTTAATACATTCCTTCATCTTCTGTACATCCTTGTGAAAGACACAAACTCCTGCAACTTACATCTGAGTCTCCTTACAAGCAAGCATCTGAGTAAAACAAACACAATGTGTAGAGGACAGAGAATTAATGACTTGGGTTAATTTATTACAATTTTCAAATGTGAACATTTGATGAAGTTTCTGATATGAATAATGCAATTGACAACCATGTGACTATTTCTATGACATGAAAACCAAAGATGATAAAGTCTTCCAAAAAATAAGTCCCTAAGAGTAATGATTAAGTCTATTTTCAAAGATGTCATTAAATGTTATGTTTGATATAAACAAATAGAACAGATTTAAGGAAAAAAAAACTCTTCAGATATAGCATACAATATTTCTGAGAAATACTACATTTAATATATGAAGAATATAACAAGAATATCAAGGAGATTCAGCAAGTCTGTAGTAGTATGTAAACATTTGTAAAGTTTCTTGGCTAAATGTGATGTTCATCTCCAACTGAGAACTAAATGCCTAGAAGATGCTAGCTTTTGTTCAGTGTGGGATTTGATTTCACTCTACCTGAAAGCTACTGGGATATCCTGTTACCTTCTTACGATGCTGGAAGAAGACATGAAAATCTTCCGTCACAGACAAAGGACTTCAATCCTCATATCACAACAAGCATATGAACATAAAATTGCTTTAGTCTCCCTTGTCTCCAGATCCCACTGGGGTGACAGAGAGAGCCCAGATGGATGCTGGTCAGGCAGAGGGTCTATGTTAGCATCTGAGGAACACTGAGTTTGGGGAAATCCATTGCTTATATAGAAAGCAGTAAGCAAGGCTTACTTTTCATCTCAGAAAGAAATATTACTTCATTCCTCAAAGTTCATCATGAGAACAAGGCCCTGAGAAGCGGCAGGGTGAACAAGCAGTCAGGGCTTTGAAATCCTTGCACTCCCAGCAAGACACAAGGGCGTAAGAAACCCCTGGACAATTATCTTTTTCAACAGATTCGAATGAAAAAAGTAAGGCTGTGGCAAAGTAATAACTGAAATGTGACAGATAATGCTATAGTTGTTGCTTCGCATCATCACAGAAAGCAGTCTAGGACTCTGATAATCACACAAAACCTGACAGACTTTTTCATAAGAAATTTGATCAGTGTTTCACTAGAGGTTAAAATATATTATGGAAAATAAAACACTGACAAACCAGGGAATTCAAATGAAGCATATAATTTTTGAAATATTTATTTTAATAACATTTTACCTTTGCAAACTTAACCTAGGGAAGCCTGAATGTCTTTTCTAATTTGACAGCTTTTGCTACACAACTCTTATAACAGGATAGCAAAAAAGAACTAAGTAGCTCTAGCATCTCTTTTTATAAGCAAAAGAACAAATCCTTGTGATTTTTCAGGAACCCTCTGGGAAATCCCAAAGATAGTCTGGGAGTACAAGATATGCTGAAAATTTTATTTTATTTTTTCTACATTTAGCACCTGAATTTGGGAGGTAAAATGTTTTAAGAGGAAATTTGGGGCATTCACTTAGTTACCATTTAAGTACAGAAACAATGAAACATTTAAAAATAAACATGGAAAGTAGGATGCTTCTAGAAACCTTAGCTCTTTCATAAATGAGGAGGAACCTTTGTTCATTCCTTTTTCACTTCTCAAAAGGAAGAAATATAAGTAAGTCAAGTAAGTCAATGAAATGCATAGAACATTATTTTGGTATAACACAGATTCTCTGCTAATCTATATGGACTACACAGAAGGTAAAGAATAACTTTTCAGGGTACCTGGGTGGCCCAGTTGGTTAAGTGTCCAGCTTTTGGTTTTGGCTCAGGTCACGATCTTATGGGCATGAGATCCAGCCCTGTGTCAGGCTCTGCCCTGACAGACCGTGCGTGGGATTCTCTCTCTCCCTCTCTTCCCCTTCCTCTTTCACACTCGCTCACTCTCACTCAAAATAAATAAATAAACTTTAAAAAGTTTAAGAATAACTTTTCATATTGTAAGTGAAGGCAATCAGTAAACCAAGGAAACTCACTGAGTAAGCTTTGCTAACACTGCCACCTATTTACTAGCTTTTAAAAATTTTTTTAATGTTTATTTACTTTTGAGATAGAGAGAGACAAAGTGCAATCAGGGGAGGGTCAGAGAGAGAGGGAGACGCAGAATCCAAAGCAGGCTCCAGGTTCCAAGCTGTCAGCATAGAGCTCAATGCGGGACTGGAACCTCGGACTATGAGATCGTGACCTGAACCAAAGTCAGACGCCTAACTGACTGAGCCACCCAGGTGCTCCTTGTAGCTATTTTTAGATGCAAATATAAACCAAGGCCAAAAGCATTCATTTTTCAAATTTCAGCCTTTATGTTTGTTCATATTATGAAGCAAACAATTGTTTTAACTTGAACATATCTCAGAAAGTTTGTGAGGTAATAACGTATTTCATAGTAGATATTATTTACATTCATATACAATGCATTCATCTTTCTGATCCTAAAATGAATCAATAAGCACTTATTTAAAATTCTATTTTAATTTCTAACATGGTAAAGATTGATACTTATAACTCACTGAAGCTAAAGCTCCTTGGGGTCTTCTGTGAATCTCAAGAGTATAAAGGTGAAATGGGTTCAGGAAGCTGAAAAACAAACAAACAAACAAACAAACTCTGAAAATGGCTACTTTAAAACAAAAGCACTCCTGGGGCACCTGGGTGGCTTAGTCGGTTAAGTGTCCGACTTTCGCTTAGGTCATGATCTCGCGGTTCGTGGGTTCGAACCCCGCGTCCGGCTCTGTGCTGACTGCCAGCTCAGAGCCCGGAGCCTGTTTCAGAGTCTGTCACTCCCTCTCTCTCTGACCCTCCCCTGCTCACGCTGTCTCTCTCTTTCTCTCCTAGAAATTTAAAAAAGCAAAAAAAACCACTCTTTTCCTAGAAAGTACACACAGTTGCTGTGTTCTCTGTTATCATTGCTCCCAGTGTAGTTCCAATCACTCATATTAATTAAACTGTTCAACAAATCACAGAGAAAACTGGGGTGGGAGATGGCTCATTAATCACTGTCATATGCAAGCATTTTATTTTTTTAATTTTATTTATTTCTTATTTCTGAGAGAGAGAGACAGCATGAGCAGGGGACGTTCAGAGAGAGAGACACACACAGAATCCAAAACAGGCTCCAGGCTCTGAGCTAGCTGTCACCACAGAGCCCAACGCGGGGCTCGAGCCCACGAACCGTGAGATCATGACCTGAGCCGAAGTCGGACGCTTAACCGACTGAGCCACCCAGGGGCCCCAATATGCAAACATTTTAGTGGATGAGTAAAATACATGGACACACATTGCACAAATTTCTAATGTCACACAAATATTTTAGATACTTTCTCAAAGTGGTAAAAATAAATACATGCATTAACACACTAGTGGCTTCTCAATAGCACATAAAAATGAAAATAAAGTAAACGAGCTTAAATATGGTTTGTAATCAGTAACTATATTACTTGGAAATTTTCTAGGCCTTCAATGATTATCCACCAATTTAATATCAATTCAAGATTTAAGTTAACTACAGATCTTGGAAATTTTCTTCAAGATGACATATTATAAAACATAAATACCATCAAAATAAATTTTTGTCAGAAACATTCCTTCAGGTGAATACAAACTTACTTTTTTCATAATCTTAAACCTTATATAATAGTAATGTTTTATTTGATCAGTAAACCTGTATAAGCATAGAAAACAAATCTAAAAGGTGAACATTCTTATATTTTACTTAACATTGATAAATCAGAAAAGACATAGCTCTTTATATTAAGCCAAAATTATTGACCTAGTCTCATTTACAAAAGATTTACCTTTATTATGTAAACTTGAATTCTTGAAACATTTCCAAGTTAGTTTCTGTAAGAATTTTTTTTTTTAGTTTCTATAAGAATTTTTAAAGTCAAGTACCTTTAAAGTATTAGAAGTTTAAAATTTATTATTTTTCTAAAATTTTATTAGTGTTCAATTTTTGTGCTGATAATTTAATCAGAGCAAACCTCCTTTGAGAGACTTTATAATAGAATTTATTAATTATCGTCTAGGAAGACTTTTTACACTAACACAAGAAGTAAAAACCTTTCTGAATCAAATTAATATAGACATTTAGGTGCATAAAGTGGTTAGTTTCAGTATTAAAACTTTAGCTACAAGTCAACTGTAAAGAGAGAAACAAAACCTTAATAGTCCAGATATTAAAGAGTAATACTTCTCAGTGCACAGAATTCTTCAGTAATTTAAGCTGAAAAACAGACAAATCAACAAAGGAACGACAAACCAGATTCTCTCATCTCTCATCCATCTACGGAGATCAAAAATAGACCATTAAACCAAATTTCCAGTTAGCTGCTGCCACTAATGCTACATTACCCACATTGGCCATGTACAAACCAGAAACAAAAACAAAACACAAAATCACTGGAAAGAAAAAAAATTTCAGAAAAAAAGTATGAATTATAGTCCTATTGTCACTTGGGGTTCAGACACTGGGAGTCGAGCAAGGAGTTTTGGGCTTAGGCAACACACATTACCAGACTACGCCAGGTGAATCCACGGGGCTTCTTGGCAGGACCTCCAAAACTGTTAAAGGGGGATTTTAACATAGCCATGACTCTCATACAAATATAAAATGAACACATCAAAGATTTTATTTAATCCATCAATTAATGAGGCAATCCACAGGATACTATAAATGAATCAAAAGATTAATCAAAGAACCACACATATGAAGACAGTAATACTGAAATACATTTATAAATAGATACAAAACTGGCTTATTCTGTGGGAGCGATGGATGTCATGCACCAGACAGATCGATCTTATTCTCAGTAGGCAAAATTCATTTGTATGTCTATGGACAAGAGTCATTTGCATTGTTATTAGTTATTTGCAACCAAAAGAGTTATAAAGTAGCTCAAAGAGCACAAAAAGCAGAGAGTATCCATGGAATCATAGAATAAAATAACCCAGAAGGATGTGCTTAAACAATCTTTTTGGCTTATCTTAAAGTCTTATAATTTCTTCCTATACCTGTCAGAAGAGTTTTAAAACTATCATTCGTTTCTAACTTTATTGTACTTAAGAGGCCAAAGTAATCTAGAAACTACAAACAATTATTTACAAAGGATTGATCTTAATGATAAGAAACTATAGGATTTCTGAGAAACAGAAATCAAAACTCAAGTGAGTGATAAAATCTCCTTTTTGTAAGTGAAATCCATTGTCTGTTCCTCATAAACTGTTGTTTCAATTCAGTTGTAGGAAGGAAGATCCAGTGAAAGTTATATTAACTAAAGAAGAAATCTCAAAGCTAGTATATCATATAACTAATCTAAAACAAATAATGTTAATTTTAATGAAGATTATGTGTTTACAATATTATGATCGAAATGCTAGTTGCGGGGCGCCTGGGTGGCTCAGTCGGTCGGTTAAGCGTCAGACCTTGGCTCAGGTCATGATCTCACGGTTAGTGGGTTCGAGCCCCCCTTTGGGCTCTGTGCTGACCGCTAGCTCACAGCCTGGAGCCTGCTTCGGATTCTGTGTCTCCCTCTCTATCTGACCCTTCCCTGCTCACGCTGTCTCTCTTTCTCTCTCTTCCTCAGAGATAAATAAAAAACATTAAAAAATTAAAAAAAGAAAAAGAAATGCTAGTTGCTTGAACAAACACCCACATTTCATTGTTGACAATATAAAGTTTTCTTTCTTGAGCATAGAAAGTTCTTACGCATTGGGCAGCTTTCATGGCTGTCTCTTCTTCAAGTGATGACTCATGGATCTGAGTTTTTGCCATTATGTGGCTTTGCCATTTTTGAGTCTTTCACTTCCAGACACACAGAGCAAACAAATGAAGGCTCTTGCAGGAGATTTTTAGGAGCTAAGTCTGGAGTTGACTTTCAATACTTACATGCACATCATCTTTGTCTAAACTAGGCACATGGCCCCAACTCAACTGCAAAGAATGCTGAGTGATGCATTCATGGTGTGTATATAGAAAAAGGAACAGATTTCTGAGTAGCTAGCCAGTCACTTCCATAATCATGATGACTGATTTAATTAATTTTCAGTCAAAAATAATTCCTGGTGAACTGTGAAAACTGATTTTTTTTTTTTTAGTTCTCTTAATTTTTTAACTCCTAACTTATAGTCAATGGAAGGTTGCCTAACTCCTTGACTCCTTGTCACTCTGAACCCAATCTGGAAGACTATTAATAGAGCAAAAGCTAGAGCACATTCAGAAGAGGACAATCACATGGAGATAAATGAGCAATGGAGGCAACAGGGGTATCAACATGTTTTTCAATGCTTCATGCATCATCAGCTGTTTATTTCAATATTTTGTATGTCATCAGCACTTTGTCTGACAGCTCCATTTGTTCACTTTTCATACTCCTTTTGAGTAAACAGCACATGTAATAGTTCCATTTTAGAACAGCACATTAATCTTCCCTTGTTAAGGGATGACTTGTCCTCACACTTATCATCACACCTCTCTTGTGATATGACATCATCTACTCATTTGCTGAGATAAATGCCAAACAACAAAAAGTCACGCAGGCATTTGAATTTCTACTTTTGTCTCTTTGATTTGCAGCACAACTTAGAAATACAGGGAAGGGGGGAAACTAGTCATTGATGAAGCTTTATTTTTATTTTATTTTTTTTTTGGCACGTTTGTATTCTCCACACAGTCTGTACTCAGTACTGAGAGACTCTAACAGATCTAAGCCAATTGGGTGGATTGCCCAGTAGGTTAAATCATGCCACTTTTGCCATAAAAGCAAAGTATACACCCATGTACAGCACACTGGAGTGGCAGCAAGCCTTTCTTGCCCTTCAGCATCCACGGGAAGCCTTGTCTTCTGGAGCAATGAGTGATAACAGCCATAAGCCAATTTCTGTCTTTAAAGCAATTCTGGAAGTGTTCCTTATAGAAAACAAGCCACACAAGTTGTGATTCATTTATAAATAACTCAAATATAAATACAAGTTAAGTCCCATCTAGAAAGTAATGCAGACAGACTGCAAAATAGTAGTGTTTGTGTGCTGAGACATGACATTCAGTAGCCATGTTTCACTGCAAGTTAAGCACAATCATTAAATTCCTAATAGAACTTTCTTTGGACCTTTAATTTACTATAAAGCTCTAAAAATTTCACCTCAATGTTAGCTCTCACCCTTTCTGTTTGTGATTTCAGCTAGGAATTTGACTACAAGAAAATACAGGGGAAGGTTGATGAGTTGGGGATTATAACACACCTCACTATGAAAGACATATTGAAACTGAAAAACACAGTTAACTAAATGAGATGAACTGCTTTCCATACAAGATGGCAATATAATAATAATATAACTTGAAATAAAAATCATATAGTGAATTTACTTATTACCTTTTATTCATAATAAATTATGGTATATAAAGACTTAAAAGAAGAGAAAGTTAGAAAAAGAACTAAATATCCACAAATAAAGGAATGAATAAGTTGTGGTGTGTTCAAACAGCAATATACTATATAACAGAAAAGGAATAAAATACAGCTACACCTATCAATGTGGAGGATTTTCATGAACATAAATGTTAAGGGAAAAGGCAAGTTAAC